TACTAACATATAACTATAATCACGAATTTTTTACCCATCATTTCGAGATGAAAAAACGACGATTTTTCTATCTCGATCTCAACCTAGCAGAATCAAAACTCAAATCACATGTTTTTTGAAATTCTGTTGTATCATCGATGAGTTACTAATTTATTACTAATTTATTACCACATTCGCAGATTTCTAACACTTCATTCAACAGGGAAAACCAACGGCTCTGCTAGCTTGCTGTCAACCTAGCAGAGCCATAGCTAAACAATTATTAGTTGGAAAACTTCAAATATACCATAATTTATTACTATTTTATTGCTAACTTAAAACTATAATCACGAATTATTTACTCATCATTTCAATGAAAAAAACGACGATTTGTCTATCTCGAACTTAACCTAGCAAAACCAAAACTCAAATCAAATGCTTTTTGAAATTCTGTTGTATCATCGATGAGTTACTAATTTATTACTAGTTTATTACCACATTCGCAGATTTCTAACACTTCATTCAACAGGGAAAACCAACGGCTCTGCTAGCTTGCTGTCAACCTAGCAGAGCCATAGCTAAACAATTATTATTTTGAAAACTTCAAATATACCATAATTTATTACTATTTTATTACTAACTTATAACTATGATCACGAATTGTTTACTCATCATTTCAAGGAGAAAAACGACGATTTGTCTATCTCGAACTCAACCTAGCAAAACCAAAACTCAAATCACATGCTTTTCGAGATTCTGTTGTATCATCGATAAGTTACTAATTTATTACTAATTTATCACCACATTCGCAGATTTCTAACACTTCATTCAACAGGGAAAACCAACGGCTCTGCTAGCTTTATGTCAACCTAGCGGAACCATAGCTGAAAATTTGATATTTTGAAAATTTTAAATATACCAGAATTTATTACTATTTTATTACTAACATATAACTATAATCACGAATTTTTTACCATACTAATTTATCACCACATTCGCAGATTTCTAACACTTCATTCAACAGGGAAAACCAACGGCTCTGCTAGCTTTATGTCAACCTAGCGGAACCATAGCTGAAAATTTGATATTTTGAAAATTTTAAATATACCAGAATTTATTACTATTTTATTACTAACATATAACTATAATCACGAATTTTTTACCCATCATTTCGAGATGAAAAACGACGATTTTTCTATCTCGATCTCAACCTAGCAGAATCAAAACTCAAATCACATGTTTTTTGAAATTCTGTTGTATCATCGATGAGTTACTAATTTATTACTAATTTATTACCACATTCGCAGATTTCTAACACTTCATTCAACAGGGAAAACCAACGGCTCTGCTAGCTTGCTGTCAACCTAGCAGAGCCATAACTAAACAATTATTATTTTGAAAACTTCAAATATACCATAATTTATTACTATTTTATTACTAACTTATAACTATAATCAAGAATTGTTTACTCATCATTTCAAGGAAAAAAACGACGATTTGACTATCTCGATCTCAACCTAGCAGAACCAAAACTCAAATCACATGTTTTTTGAAATTCTGTTGTATCATCGATAAGTTACTAATTTATTACTAATTTATCACCACATACGCAAATGTCTAACACTTCATGCAACAGGGAAAACCAACGGCTCTGCTAGCTTGCTGTCAAGCTAGCAGAGCCATAGCTGAACAATTATTATTTTGAAAACTTCAGATATACCATAATTTATTACTATTTTATTACTAACTTATAACTATAATCACGAATTGTTTACTCATCATTTCAAGGAAAAAAACGACGATTTGTCTATCTCGAACTCAACCTAGCAAAAGCAAAACTCAAATCACATGCTTTTTGAAATTCTGTTGTATCATCGATAAGTTACTAATTCATTACTAGTTTATTACCACATTCGCAGATTTCTAACACTTCATTCAACAGGAGAAACCAACGGCTCTGCTAGCTTGCTGTCAACCTAGCAGAGCCATAGCTAAACAATTATTCTTTGAAAACTTCATATATACCATAATTTATTACTATTTTATTACTAACATACAACTATAATCACGAAATATTTACTCATCATTTCAAGGAAAAAAACGACGATTTGTCTATCTCGAACTCAACCTAGCAAAACCAAAACTCAAATCAAATGCTTTTTGAAATTCTGTTGTATCATTCGTTTTATTTAATTTAATTTGAACATGTGATTTGAGTTTTGGTTCTGCTAGGTTAAGATCTAGATAGTCAAATCGTCGTTTTTTTCCTTGAAATGATGAGTAAATAATTCGTGATTATAGTTGTATGTTAGTAATAAAATAGTAATAAATTATGGTATATATGAAGTTTTCAAAGAATAATTGTTTAGCTATGGCTCTGCTAGGTTGACAGCAAGCTAGCAGAGCCGTTGGTTTCTCCTGTTGAATGAAGTGTTAGAAATCTGCGAATGTGGTAATAAACTAGTAATAAATTAGTAACTTATCGATGATACAACAGAATTTCAAAAAGCATGTGATTTGAGTTTTGCTTTTGCTAGGTTGAGTTCGAGATAGACAAATCGTCGTTTTTTTTCCTTGAAATGATGAGTAAACAATTCGTGATTATAGTTATAAGTTAGTAATAAAATAGTAATAAATTATGGTATATCTGAAGTTTTCAAAATAATAATTGTTTAGCTATGGCTCTGCTAGGTTGACAGCAAGCTAGCAGAGCCGTTGGTTTTCCCTGTTGCATGAAGTGTTAGACATTTGCGTATGTGGTGATAAATTAGTAATATATTAGTAACTTATCGATGATACAACAGAATTTCAAAAAACATGTGATTTGAGTTTTGGTTCTGCTAGGTTGAGATCGAGATAGTCAAATCGTCGTTCTTTTCCTTGAAATGATGAGTGAACAATCAGTGATTATAGTTATATGTAATAAAATATAATAAATTCTGGTATATTTAAAATCTTCAAAATATCAAATTTTCAGCTATGGTTCCGCTAGGTTGACTAGCAGAGCCGTTGGTTTTCCCTGTTGAATGAAGTGTTAGAAATCTGCGAATGTGGTAATAAATTAGTAATAAATTAGTAACTTATCGATGATACAACAGAATTTCAAAAAGCATGTGATTTGAGTTTTGGTTTTGCTAGGTTGAGTTCGAGATAGACAAATCGTCGTTTTTCTCCTTGAAATAATGAGTAAACAATTCGTGATTATAGTTATAAGTTAGTAATAAAATAGTAATAAATTATGGTATATTTGAAGTTTTCAAAATAATAATTGTTTAGCTATGGCTCTGCTAGGTTGACAGCAAGCTAGCAGAGCCGTTGGTTTCTCCTGTTGAATGAAGTGTTAGAAATCTGCGAATGTGGTAATAAACTAGTAATAAATTAGTAACTTATCGATGATACAACAGAATTTCAAAAAGCATTTGATTTGAGTTTTGGTTTTGCTAGGTTGAGTTCGAGATAGACAAATCGTCGTTTTTTTCCTTGAAATGATGAGTAAATAATTCGTGATTATAGTTTCAAGTTAGTAATAAAATAGTAATAAATTATGGTATATTTGAAGTTTTCCAAATAATAATTGTTCAGCTATGGCTCTGCTAGGTTGACAGCAAGCTAGCAGAGCCGTTGGTTTTCCCTGTTGAATGAAGTGTTAGAAATCTGCGAATGTGGTAATAAATTAGTAATGAATTAGTAACTTATCGATGATACAACAGAATTTCAAAAAACATGTGATTTGAGTTTTGGTTCTGCTAGGTTGAGATCGAGATAGACAAATCGTCGATTTTTTCCTTGAAATGATGGGTCAAGAATTCGTGATTATAGTTATAAGTTAGTAATAAAATAGTTATAAATTATGGTTTATTTAAAATTTTCAAAATATCAAAATTTCAGCTATGGTTCTGCTAGGTTGACATAAAGCTAGCAGAGCCGTTGGTTTTTTCTGTTTAATGAAGGGTAATAAATTTGCGAATATAGTAATAATTTAGTAATAAATTAGTAACAAATTATAGTACTATTGCAAATCCGAAATATTGAAGTGGTTCTGCTAAGTTTATTGGGGTCTTGCTGACTTGTATGCTGTCATGGTCATGGGCTACTTGATTTTAATTTGAACTGAGAAAAGTGAGAAAAGTGCTTTCATCGCGACAATAGGTCCATAATATACACCTTGGTAGTAAAGAATAATCTTACCACGGGACATCATACCCCTCGGCAGAAGCCTGGGATATAATCTTGATCACTGGGAAATAATGATATACTTTATTACTACCATTATTTACTCCTTTCCAAGACTTTAGTTCTACCGAGATATTTTTTCGTCATTAACGTCATTCACCATTGATTCTTGGTGGCACCGTTATATGGGATATTGATGTGTGATTTTTCAGAAAAAATATGGGTGGCGATGAAACCTTTCGAAATTTTATTCTAAAATCTGAAAGAGGATGCAATATTGTTGAAAAAAGCAGCAGTTGTTGAAACTGCATGTTGACCATATTCAACTCCAAAATTTGATGTAGCTGATGTCGGATAGTCCATTCAAGACATCTGTTCAGATAACCATGATAGATATTATTTTGGAATTGTGGTACTCTGCCAGTCATATGTATAACAGACTAAATTTTGACACCATGATATAAGCCATACGACAGGGTAGAAAATTCTATAAATATTTGCAGCTTCAATGCCCCCTGTATTTCGCAAATGAAGCCTTTCACGGCCTCTTTGTTGAGACCCCTTCTATCACCTCTCGAAGTGTGTTCTAGATATTATATTATCTGAGATGTGAAATGATGAAAAATATATATAAATATAATGACTCGACATAATGTCCGATAGCTGAATGTTTTATTTCCTGAGATAGGTAGCTGTCACTGAAGGTGGTTCCATAACGATAATCATTTGTCATTCAAATAAAGAGGCCTACATGATTTTGTTTGATTCTTGGTTTTCATTGCCAACTTCGGTGATATTTTTAAAACTCTCCTACTCAACAGATTATCAGCATATTGTCTTTCTTTCAGAGATAAGTCTGCATCTTATACATATTTCTATAAAAGTAAAGAAGATGCTCAAAAGGATAACAGAACGACTGTTCAATTCGAACATTATCCATTCGGAGATAAACATTATCAGAAGCGTCGTGAACAGATGCAAATTAGATCTAAAGAATGTGCCAAATTAATAGACTTTCTAAAGAATCTCAATGAAGGGATCATTCCTCACAACGTGTTAGAAGACGTGAAATCATACGAGAAAACACCTTTCAAATTGGATGATCTCGTGGGAAATATTGATGTCCACGATTTTACCATCGTTGGGCACTCGTTTGGTGGAGCTTCGGCCTTACAAGTGACGTCAGAAAGAGAAGATATAGGGTGAGTTATGAGGGTTTTAAATTCCGTTTGAATTGGAGTATGAATCTTCTTGAATACCACCCTAAGCGGGAGTGTCACAACTCGAGGATAACTTGTGTTATGAATTTTGATCTGATGTCTACCAGAACTGGCTCAATGATTTCCAACATGTGCGTTGACAGTGTTGCCGCTTCCTAGAATTTTCATAAAATATGAATAAATAAAATATGGTACTTATGTTACGAAATTCAATGTTCATATACAGGGTGGCCCACGGTCGATGGTACCTTAGACGTATACGGAAAACGGTACATTGGATTATCCTGAAAATTTGGTTACTCTAATAAGCGTTTGTGATCTAACGATTCAAAATATTTTCAGCGATGCAGCATTGCCACTTTTACCAAAAAGTAGCATCATCTTTGTTATTTCAAATGGAACACCCTGTATTTTAGTGCGTTTTCAGATTCTTCTCGGAGAGCTGATTTCATCAATGTATCACACTTGGGGTCTAGCAGGAATTATTACAGAGATATAGGGTGTTCAAAATCGAGATTTTTCAACTTTTTTTTGTGTCGAAACTATTCATCATTGGTCAAAACGGCTTACATGTCCTTATATCAACTTTTGATTAACTATCTACCGACATTTAATTGAAAAAAATACAGGATGGTCCAAGATTCAGAATTTTGATCACCCTGTATCTGTTCCAATTGAATGTCAGTAGATAGTGAATCAAAAGTTAAGATAGGGACATGTAAGCCGTCTTGATCGATAATGAATAGTTTCGACACAAAAAATTCCTGAAATTGAAAAATCTCGATTTTGAACACCCTATATCTCTGCAATAATTCCTGCTAGAGTGCTAGACCCCAAGTGTGATACATTGATGAAATCAGCTCTTCGAGAAGAATCTAAAAACGCAATGAAATACAGGGTGTTCCATTTGAAATAACAAAGATGATTCTACTTTTTGGTAAAATATTTTGAATCGTTAGATCACAAACGCTTATTAGAGTAACCAAATTTTCAGGATAATCTAATGTATCGTTTTCCGTATACGTCTAAGGTACCATAGACCGTGGGCCACCCTTTATAACTGTGTTTCCAATCAAAAATATCCAGTTATAATACCACGACAGCTCCAATTATTACCGGAATATCATTGAAAAAATACTAGTATAAGATTACGCTGAATAAAATACAAAATATACCGATGTTGGTGGAAACATATTTTTTCACAAGGAACTCGAAGCAGTATGTATAGTAGGTATCATATGCAATTTATTAATTCACATCCATAACATTTTCTATTTTAAATCAAACACAATGGGCGAGAGTGCTGGACTGATATGATTTATGTTAATAATGCGTTGTTCGAAATTGTTGAATTTTAGAGCTCATTTCAAACGAACCTTCATGGCCGCCATTTAGCGATACGTTGAATTAATGGTGACGTAAATTTTTATGCTGTTTCGTTATTGGTCAGATAATCTCTCATTTCCACTCATGATGCAAAAGGTTGTCAAGTCACCGCAATTAAAATCAAGTTAACAAAAAGATGTCGGAGTTCTGTCGATGAATAGAACATAATAGGAGGGACCCATGATATTAGTTCATTCTTGACTTTTTCGAGCAACCAGCATTTCCAGATATTTATTGATCTCCATAACAAAATATCATGTGAATGTTGGAGACTTGGCAACATTGTGCTGAATGCTAAGAACTGACAAGACCACGCCCACAAGTCGTGCGCTGTGTTGTCACGTTCACTGATTCAAATGTCCTCTAGTGTGAATTGATATAATCATTATTTTCACAAATTTATTACAAACAATATAGTCTAAGAGCTCTTGCACCTTTTATAGAACGGTTTGTCTGTTAGGCTAAAAGTTTGTATAGTGATGAATCAAAAGGTGTTAAGTCACCATCTCCCATATTTTTTGAAATGTAAAAATCATTAGTATTCAGATATTGAATATTGATAGAATGAAGAAAGAAATTTACAGGCGATTTTGATGAGCAGAAGAGGGTGCCAGGCGAGTCCAAAAGTGGAGAAAATATAATTTGCTGACCAAAATCAAAGCTTGCTGACCGGACATTTCGATTGATTTTGGATAATTAAGTTATTTCAATGGATACATTGTTGTTACTGGTAAAATAGTTCCAATTCACCCCCTCAGAAGGGTAGTTTATTCTAGCGGTTTTTCATAAATCCTTGCTGAGCGAGCATTTCTGGTTAGAAGTTTCGTTTCAAATTATATATTTAAACATCTCATATGATTACCTAGTTGACATTTTATTGACAATATTGATCTAGTCCTTAAGAGGGGTAGTTTATCCTTGATGTTTTTCAAAAATCCTTGCTGACCGAGCATTTCTGGTTCGAATTTGTGCTTCAAATTACATATTTAAAAATCTTAAACGGATATTCAGTTGCCACCAAGGCAATAATTTCAATCCACCCCTTAAGAGAGGTAGTTCATTCTTCATGTTTTTCAAAAATCCTTGCTGACCGAGCATTTCTGGTTCGAATTTTTGCTTCAAATTACATATTCGAAGATCTTATATAGATATCCATGCAGTTGCCACCAAGGCAACAATTTCGAGGGGTAGTTTATTCTTGATCTTTTTAAAAAATCCTAGCTGACCGAGCATTTCTGGTTCGATTTTTCCCTTCAAATTGCATATTTGATCATCTTATTGAGACATCCAGTGCAACCAGTGGAAATTAGAATGATCTCAATCCATCCTTGAAAGAGATAGTTCATTGTTAGATGTTCAAATATGCAATTGAGCAAAAATTCGTTTTAGAAATATATTCGGTCAGCAAGGAATTTTGAGAAATAGCAAGAATAAACTATCTCATTGAGGAAGTGGATCGAATTTATTCTATCGGTGACAACTAGAGAGATGTCTATATGAGATGTTCAAATATGCAATTTGAAGCGAAAATTCGAATCGGAAATGCTCGGTCAGCAAGGATTTTCGAAAAACAGCTTCGCCCTCAAGCTACAAATCGCACCATGGAAAAAAAATCTTGTGTTTCTGTCCCTTGATGTATAATGTACTATTCTCTAGTATGTGCGACTCATTGTGAATAGTTCTGACCACATCTCATTTATCTACGAGGCAAAATGAAAAAACAATTCGAATTGAATTTTTTTCCAAAAAAAATCACATTTGTCGAACAGATTGCAGTTGTTGAATATGTAAAAATATACAGGGTGTTCATAAAACTTGCTGTTGCTTGCATTTCCGAAAAAACAGAAGTCCGACATTTGGATTGTTATGTGATCAAATCCGAAATGATTATTGTACCAAATTTCAGAAAAATCTTTGCAGTAGTTACAGGAGTGGTCCGATACTCTGTGTCACCCTGTATTTTGTTATATTATTGAGCTCTAAATTTTAAAATCAAATAGGTATGTAGAGGTAAATAGTAAAAACTATATTATTTCAGACGTTGCATTCTACTAGATCCATGGATGTATCCAATAAAGAATGAGAATTTGGATTCAATAATAAAAGTTCCAATACTTTTCGTCAATACACAAACTTTCCATATTGGAGCAAATGTTAAAATGATGGAAAAGTTTCTGTCTAATGAAAACAGTAAAATGTATACATTGAGGTGAGTTTTCATGAGTGTTTTATGGTTCCTCATCAGTTTCGCTGTTGTCATAAAAATTGTATACTGGGTGTCCCATTTAAAAAAAATAACTTTCCGACATAACTCGTAAACGCGAGATCAAATTTTTCTTTCGATTCCATCATCGTAATCAACTACTAGTTTGACTATTCAACTGACATCATATCTCCAATAATAATGACCAATTAAGATAGCGATAGTGCCGACTACAATTTGAAAACTGTGTATACCGATCACTTATTTTTTTTTTCAGGGGAACCACTCATGAAAATCAGGCTGATACCGTTCTGATATTCGGCAGCTGGTTGAATTTGTTCATTCGTAAAATTGAACCGAAATTGGGTTTCCAGATCAACGATTCATTGATCCTCGAATTCCTGCATGATCGCTTGAATTTGTCGAGCGATATCGAAGAGATCAGAACTTTTTTGAGAGAGAACAAGGACTGGTTTGAGGAAGGCCTAACAAAGCCATGGGCATGAGGTCCAGTTATATATTGCAATCATATTTATACGTATTTTTGAATTGACTTATGAAAAATATAGGTGAAAGTTTATGAAGAATTTTGGTTTTGTTATTTTTATTTAAAACATGTTTTTTTATGTAACGGGAAAAAAGTTTGGCATTTCATCTCTGTTGGCAGGTTATGAAATGTCACTTCATAAATTACTTTTTTCCCGTGGAAAAAAAGTGAGTACTTCTTTCCCGGATATATATCACATATACAGGGTGGGCCACCAGTAACGCCTCGGTCTCTAGAAGACTAACCACTTATCTTCTTGGAATTCTTCCTCTCTAGGAAGTTGCATGTCAACATAGGCTACCATTTAAAATTATTTCGAAACATACAGGGTGTCCCCAAAAACCATAAAACACTGAAGTTAAACTTTTTTCTATCGAACACCCTAAATGTTATTTCATTTTGAGATTCTCCCTGGTGGGCTGATTTCAACAATCCATCATACTTGGGGTCTAGCAGTTATAATTACTGAGATATAGGGTGTGAGAAATCAAGATTTTCCAAGTTCAAGAATTTTTTGTGTCTAAACCATTCATAATTGGTCAAAACGGCTCACATGTCCCTATCTCAACTTTTGATCAACTATCTACTGACATTTAATTGAAACAAATACAGGGTGGTGCAGAATTCAGAATCTTGATCACCTGGTATATGTCCCAATTAAATATCAGTATATAGTTAATCAAAAGTTGAGATAGGGACATGTGAGCCGTTTTGACCAATTATGAATAGTTTCGACACAAAAAATTCTTGAACTTGGAAAATCTCGATATTTCACACCCTATATTTCAGTAATTATAACTGCTAGACCCCAAGTATGATGGGTCGTTGAAATCAGCTCATCAGGGAGAATCTCAAAATGAAATAAAATATAGGGTGTTCGGTAGAAAAAAGTTTAACTTCAGTGTTTTATGGTTTTTGGGGACACCCTGTATGTTTCGAAATAATTTTAAATGGTAGCCTATGTTGACATGCAACTTCCTAGAGAGGAAGAATTCCAAGAAGATAAGTGGTTAGCCTTCTAGAGACCGAGGCGTTACTGGTGGCCCACCCTGTATACACTGTTGATGGATTTTGTTGAGCTATAGTTCCGAAAAATGAGTCAATAATACCGTCTCCGAGAAAGAACTGCAAGTCCTTATTTTATCTTCCATTCGACTTCGCGGTTACATATATTACTATAAACAACCACTAAATTCGAAATGTTTTGAAATCAAATCACAGAATTAGACTGACAGAAGTGACATCAGATATTTGATTACTTCAAAAGAATGAAAAAGATGCCTACAACGCAGGTGTCCCTACTGTTAAAAACTTAAAATTTCACGTCGATAATTTTCAAATTTCAAAATATTGATACGTCCTTTCTTCTGTCACAGAAAAAAATAGTGTATTATACACGGGAAAAATATTAGATTTTAGCTCACGGTTTTTTGTCTCCCTCCGCTACGCGTCGGGAGACAACACAACCTGGAGCTAAAATCTACTAATTTTTTCCCTTGTATAATATTTCACACACATTGCTTCGAGGGAGTTACAGGGTATCAGAATCCACGATAATTAATTTTTTGTTTCTTATAGACTTATACAGGGTGATTCACATAACAACCGACATAGGGCAGGGGCATGTAGGGGGTCCCAAAATATGACAGCTTAACGCAACTTACCTCTATACCAAGTTACTTCCCTGAGGAGTTATAGAGAGGCATAGCACTAACAGCATGTCAACTTGCTCGTTAAAAGAAAACTTCCCGTTCATTTTAAAAACACTCAAACAACAATTACTTAATTGAACAACTCACTTGCCTCATTGTCAAGTTTGACGTTCATTTTCATAGCCAACTTTTGAATTTTCGATGATTTTAAATAACACACCTAGAGCGTGCGTTTTCAGTTATTCGAGTTTTTGATGAAAATGATGAGGTTTTTCGAAAAATTACTAGAGGAAAAAAAGTTTTAGAATTGAATTGCCCACAAAACAAAGCAAAGAATTTCGAAATCCATCAAGGATTAACAAAATTATATATGTTGAATATTAATGGTGCGCCACCCGGTATACCCCCTTTACAAATTTCAATTAAACTCTAGTTACTGTCAAGTAACGCCCCAAATACATCCACAAAGTGTACCAAATTTGGTTGCTTTAAGTTCAAGGATAACGAAGATATTGATTTTTTTCAAAATTTATAACTTCACTTTCAAAGCCTATATCTCCTTAGGGAAGCAACTTGGTATAGAGGTGAGTTGCGTTAAATTGCCATATTTTGGGACCCCCTACATGCCCCTGCTCTATGTCGGTTCTTATGTGAATCACCCTGTATAGTACGTAGTAGAAAACTCGTCTTCAACACCGCTGCAATTAGAGCGCTCATATCGTCCAACCGCGACATGTACGCTGAAGACGAGTGTACAATTAAAACTGTCAATTAGTAATGAATTTATCGAAAACACGATATAGATTTTAGTTAGGTGTAGGAAATGTTTGAGTAACTCATCGTCATATTTAATTTTCTTCCATATGATGTCAAAGAAATAGTAGGTGCCATTTTAAAAAGTTGAGTCTCTGGTAATTTCTCCATGGGACATTTGTACATACATCATCTCCATATGGTACGCAATGGGACCATCTATAACTGTTCCGCGATGCTCTAATTCCGAACAGTTTGCGAAATTCAAATATTTCTGGTTGTAGCTTTGAAATTTTTCGTCGGACTTCCACCTACAACTCTTGTTCAGATTCATTTGACTTTCTGTTCAAGATAGTGTCAGCAGAGAATGAAAATTTGATTAAATTGGCAATTAAACTACAAAAAAAGTGTGTAGATGATCTGGACAAAGTTTCTGACGAATGTTATTCATCTGAATCTCTCCTAGAGACCAAAGACTTCTATTATGGAATCAGTTCAAGTTCTACACGAGAATAATGTAGGTAATAAAATATCTTCTTTTCCCAATATGTATATTTTTTCTCGAAATTTTTGAGCTAACAATTTTGACTCAACTGAAACAAGATCTACTGAATGAAACTAATCCCAGCGAGCACAAAAACATCTCAGAGATGTTAAAAGTACGAGATTTCGAGACATTGAACCTCCACTGCGATGTTCTGTTCACACATGAATAGAACTTTTACTGAACAGCCAATGTCCGCCGCAGGCGGCAATTATCGAGATGTCATTGATATGTCACAAAATACCTTCTCCCTAGTTCTTTTTAAAGCCTTTTCATGGACACAACAAAACATTTTCAACGCGTCTTGCGCACATTAAATCGCTGTAAAAAAACATTTTCGAAGTACTTTTCTGAAGCCTTTTGTCAAAATGAACTTTTGCATTAGGATTCCATTTCCCTTGAATGAAAAAATGCATTGAAAATAGATTGAACATAAAAATATTTTCTTGATATGAAATTACCTTCTTAATCGGTTTCTGAGTAGTGCTTACTACACACAGACATATAATTGGAAATGGGTTTCCCAATTTTTTAAATGTTCTCCACAATGCATAATTTTGCAACTGCGGAGAAGCTGTGTATTGATAAATTCGTACTTTTATATATTGATTACACTGAGGCACCAAACAACACATCTTGCATCTGATGGTCATTATTACAAACTAAATAAGTCTTCTAACACAATAAACTTCACCAAATTCCTTTCTGTTCGTTAGCAGCGTGATGTAAGCGTGACACGCTGCAAACGCGAATGCCAATTGCGAACAAGAAGAACAAAATCGAAAACAAATCAGAATTCATCGTATTGTGACGTAAGCATGAGATGTTGTGGTGGGGCAAACAAAGAAAGGGCACAAAAGAACAAAAACAATACTTTGAATATCCTTCCAAGACCTCTTTGGGAAGTGCATATTACGCCTCAAAAAAACATCCTCATGTCTACATTTCTAAAACATCCCAAAACATCCCAGGGATACATACCTCTCAGTAGGCAAACAAAGAAATGCCACAGAAGAACAAAAACAATACTTCAATATTCTTCAAAGACCTCTTTGGTCAGTGCATATTACGTCTCAAAATAACATCTTCATGCCAACATTTTCAAAACATTCCAGGGATGTTTGTGCTCGCTGGGATGTATATAGCTTGTGAAGAGTATCATACATGAAGGTTTGCATTGAAGCAAGCAAACACATTTTTGTATTGTTACTCATTCATGTTCCTAGTCACGTACAGGGTGATTCACCATAAATGTCCCCCCCTCTAGCTCAGTTATTTTTGAACCGATTTTATTATTTGAAATATCATCTTGAATCATTTTCGATAAAGTTTTTTTCCGCTAGATCAGAAAATACAGGGTGCTCGGAACAAACGATCTACAGGGTACTATTCGATTTTTTTAAATGAAACACCCTATTTTTCATTGTATTTTTAGATTCTCCCTGAAGAGCTGATTTGATCAATGTATCACACTTGGGGTCTAGCGGGACTGATTACAGAGATATAACGTGTTCAAAATCGAGATTTTTAACTTTAGGATTTTTTTGTGACGAAACTATTCATTATCGGTCACGCGGTTTTCATGTCCGTATCTTAACTTTTGATTTACTATCTACTGACATTTAATAATTGGAACAGATACAGGGTGACCAGAATTCTGAATCTTGAACCACCCTGTAAATGTTCCAATTCAATTTCACTAGATAGTAAATCAAAAGTTGAGATGGGAACATAGAAGCCGTTTTGACCAATAATGAATAGTTTCGGCACAAAAAAATCCTAAAGTTGAAAAATCTCGACTTTAAACACCCTAAGTATATCTCTGTAATCATTCCAGCTAAACCCCAAGTGTGATACATTGATGAAATCAGCTCTTCAGGAAGAATCTAAAAATACAATAAAATACAGGGTGTTCCATATAAAAAAATCAATTAGTACTCTGTAGATCGTTTGTTACGAGCACCCTGTATTTTCTGATGCAACGGAAAAAAAAATTCTGAAAAATCATTTCAGATTATCTTTCAAATTTTTAAAACGGTTCAAAAATAAGTGAACTAGAGGGGGGGGGACATTTATGGTGAATCACCCTGT